CAGCCTTCCGCTTCCCAGAATTCTCCTCTCTCCTTGTCCCACCTACTTCCTGCCTGGCACCCTATTTCTTGCCTGGTCACTGGCCATCAGTGTTTTATTTATATAAAATGATATCCACAGCAGAGATGTGCAGCTTATCTCATATAAATGCTAGCTCATCATCTCCACCCCCCAAAAACATGCAAACAAACAAACAAACAAACAAACAAAGTCCCACTTATGAAAGAAGTGATTTTATAAGTCATGCCTTGTAACAGCACCCATCTCCATGGTGCATCCCAACCCATCGTTCTCTAGGTAGAAGAAACTGACATGCAGAGAGGCTAAACTGCCAAGACATAACCAAGAATCTCCTGGGTGTGCCTGCTGTCCTGCCCTTGTTTTGTACTCTGTTCCTCATTCCAGCATTCTAAACCTGTACCTGTGGTTATTTCAGACCTTATTCTCCTTGGTAACCTTTCATGTAGCACAAAAGTGCCTCTTTCATGTTCTAGGAGGAGAAGGAAAAAAATCAACATGACTTTTCACATGTGATAGGATCTTTTTACTTTTGAAGGAAGAAATTTTTCAAAGAACTGTTTATAGAAGCCTTAATGAAGAGGCACAGAAGTTAGACAGAAACCGAGAAGTCCTCACAGGGACATTTTTATGTCAGCCGTTGAGTTAATCTCCTACCTAAGGTAACTAGTGGACACATTGCCAGTCATTACTTATTCCCCAGCATACCTGGAATTTAAGGTGCTACTTTGCTCTCAGCTTAAAGGACATTCTTCTGACTTCAAGGAAGGACATAGCATAAGATTGAAATTTATATTTAGGCAGTGAATTTAGATCCAATTTCCCATATCTGAAAAGTTTAATGATCAGGAAATTCAAAGAAAAATTCATTCATTGAAGTGAAGGTTGTTGTATATAACACATTACAAGAATTTAGCATAGTACTTGATATGGCAAAACAATATCAGGGGACATTTGTTAACAGGGTAATGTGGTGTGTGAGTCTATGGGTGTCTCTGTGTCTTTGGAAAACTGTGACAGGGAAACACAGGATGGGTTCAGTATGAAGTAGTATCTCTTCTTCTGAGACAGATATGGTGCTCTTGAGCATTCCATGAAATGCACATCTCACTGACTAGTGAAAACCCGTCTGTCATAGAGTGCTTACTTAACATCTTTATAACACTGAGTTACCATGTACAGCAACATAGAATGGGAGAAATTGATCATAGCCCACAATTCCAGGTACTAGTTCCATTTTTGGGAAATCGAGGTAGGAACTCAGCTAATGATATCACACCCACAGCCAAGAGCAGAGATAAACAAATGTACCCATGCTGTCTGTTTGCTTATACTTATGCTCTAGCTTCTTCATAGAACATAGTACAGGTTGCAGACAAGGAAATCATTCTAGCCATGTTAGAGACTCTAAACTCTATTAACATTAATAAAATCCCACAGAGACCTGTTCAATGTCAATCTGATCTATACAATTCCTCATTGAGGGTCCATCTTCCCAGGTGACTAGTTTGATTCAGTCTGATGAGAAAAACTAAGAATCGCTAGGTGGTGGTGGTGCATGCCTTTTATCCCAGCACACCGGAGGCAGATAAAGATGGATCACTGTGAGTTCAAGGCCAGCCTGGTCTCCAAAGTGAGTTCCAGGAAAGGGTCCACAGCTACACAGAGAAACCCTGTGTCAAAACTAAGAATCATGCTGCCCCACAATCACTGACAGGATTTGAGGAGATTTCTGCCTGCATTCAGAGCTGTGGTCCTCAACCTGTGTGGGTCACCACCCCATTGGGATCTGATATCAGATAATTTCTAATATCACATCACATATTTGAATTATGATTCATAACAGTAACAAATTTAGGGCTGGAGAGATGGCTCACAGGTTAAAAGCACTGCTTGCTCTTCCAAAGATCGTGAGTTCAATTCCCAGCAACCACATTGTGGCTCACACGAATCTGTAATGAGATCTAGAGCAATCTTCTGGCCTGAAGGGATATGTGCAGACAGAATACTGTATACATAATAAATAAATAAATCTAAAAAAACAGTAGCAAAATATAAGTTAAGAAAAAATGAAACAGCTATGTATAGGTCTCACCAAAACATGAGGAACGACTGTTCATGCTATTTAAAGATTTAAAGGGTCAGAGAATTGGGGAAAAGTAAGAACCATTGATCTAGAGTGTCCAGTGGAACCCAAATGTCAATGTTGCTAACTATGAAGGGGCTTGCAAAGGATTTGCTTGAATATGCTTTGCTCTAAGGGAAACTCATATTCTATGTGGAAGACTCCAGCTGTATGGCCAATTTTACTACCCAGTAAGAGCAGAATACTTTGAGTTACTCAACAGAGAGTATAACACCCACTACACAAATGCCGATGAGACAGATTTTAGTCACACTGAGATCCATGATCATATCATGCTCCTATGGGTACTTGTTCCTAGGCTGTGTCAGCTTCTTTCTCTAGCATTACTCTGCCTAGCTGTTTCCTGTAGACTCTTTACCAGGAAGTTTTTTGACAGGTATTCTTCTCAGTCAACATTAAGTCTAAAAAGTCTTGTAGCTAAGGAGATAAGGAGATGCAGGTATTTTTTTAATTTTACATCTTTTTTTGAATTCCTTTGTTTTCTATTTCATTTTTCATTATTAAGAAATTTTCTACTCACACCACATACTATACACAGACCCATTTCCTCCCTCTCCCCACCCCCAGCTCTCTCTCCCAAGCAACACCACATCCCCACATACCCAAAATTGAGGTCTCCCATGGGGGTCAGTAGAGACCAGTACTGTGAGCCTAGGCATGTACAAACCCCTCCCTACTAAACCAAGACTGTTTAAGGTGTCACTCCACAGGAACCAGGTCCCAGAAGCCTGCCCAAAGACCAGAGACAGATCCCAATCACCTGCCTGGGTGGCCCCCAAACAGTTCGAGCCAAACTACCAACTTCTGTATTCAGAGGACCTAGTCCAGGCACATCAGGACTCCACAGCCACTAGTCCACAGTTCATGGGCTTCTCTAATGTGGCTGGTCATCTCAGATGCTGGTACTTATGATGAACTTTAGCATATATGAATTTCTATGATATTATTACCTGGTGTACATAACATTTCAGTAGGAGATAAACATTTAGTTCCACACAATGAAAGAACTGATGGATGTCCTATCAATCGGGGAGAGATCTGTGGCTTTGGATGAAGGGGATGCTGAAGGGCTTCACTTGTATCCCAGCAGAGGCTCCTGCAAAGGTCAACTTGACTTCTAGAGTATGGTGAGGAAAGCACATTAGCAGGAAAGCAATGTCAGTTCCCATGACATCTGCAGCTCTTCCCTGGACATTCTATTGTATCCTGGAGAGCCCTAGCATCCTCTGTGATGTCACCTATGTTGTGGCATCACCACCTGCCCTTTGGAAGTTTATTCAGTGCCTTCACCATTTACTGATGAACATGATGGCATACTAAAGAGTCTAATTGAGAAAGAGAATAAAGAGGGTAGAAAACCAGAGAGTGACAGAAGAAAGCTGACTTTCAGCCTCAGTGTAAAACATCAAGGAAGAAATGGTCGAGAGAATGGTGCAATGAGTCCTGTGCAGTAAATGTGAAACTTCCTGGAGGAAGTGGGCTTGAGCTGAATCTTCCAGTAATGGGGAACAGAAAGTTGGAGTCTCTGGGTACCAACAGAAATTCCCTGCTAGTTATGGCTCTTGAAATTCAAGGATTCTAGGATATTAATTACTTTGCATCAGAGGACAGAAAATGGTAAGTCCAATGGTTTATGGTGGGAACTCTTGGCTTTCATCCCTTCTGGAGGATAGGCATTGATGACTGAACATGATACCAACATTAAAGTGGGAGGGATTAGTGAGTTGTGCTCATTTCAAGGCAGGACATCACTGTACTTTAAACACACTGGCTAACTTTAGATACTTCCCAGCTGTTCTGTGTGACCTGAGTTGTCATTGAGGTGACTTGTTGAGTCTGGTGACCATATTCTGCCCTTATATATCTTCTCCATCAATTGTTAGATGGTTCGTGACCTGTCAAGATATTTGGGGAACCTCTAAAAGAGGGTGATTGTTAAATATGGCAATATTCTCCTGACTCATAAACCCACAGGCTTGTAGACTCTGCAGCCAAGTTAAATTCTGAGTCTGAAGCTGTGAATAAGCCAGAAGAGGCTATCTCCTTGGTTATTTGGAGCATATGCTATGAGGGCAGAGACAACCATAGCTGAGATAACCACTTCCCTTCAAATAGAGGAGGCAGCTGAGTTCCCCAGAGTGGGCTTCTGAAGCATGGGACAAAATAATTTGAGGTGTCACTGAGTCATTGATAAACAAGTTTGCTCAAACTTTTGTTTAAGACTCAGGGTGGTCTGTCCATCCTCTTTGCCTTGTCATAGTGCAGGTTAATTCATATGCATCTACCCACAAGGAGCAACAGGGAGACACCATCCCACCAAAACTTCCTCACCAGGATTCAGGTGAAGCAGAAGGTTCAGAGACTGTCCTGTCAGCAACAGCAAATGACCATTGAAACAAAGTAGCAGTGAGATCGCCTGATCTTTATCACAGAAGAGAGCATGAAGAATATGTATTAATTCTTTCAAACCCTGTTGTTTCAATCTTAGGTCAACTCTGTCATCATTAATTCATTTCATACAAGGTTTGTGTTTCTGCCAAGCTTTATCTTCAGGGTATGCCTTTGCCCAAAATGATGTCTCTGAATTCTTCCCAAAGGCAGAACCTCAAATGTGGACAAGAATGTCATGAGGACAAAGACTACTCTGATTCCTCTAAAAAGAAACAAAACCAGAGCCTGTAGCATGAGTCATGGTTCTCATGGAATGAAGCAGTAGTATGTGTGTTGCTGGAGGGCTTCTCTCCAGGTTCCCCAAGACCCGCAGTCCCACAATCCACTTATAAAATAATCACTCAGACGCTTATATCACTTATAAACTGTATGGCCGTGGCAGGCTTCTTGTTAACTGTTCTTTT